CTGCGCAAAACGTAGAAATCTAGTATTAATGCAGCTAAATGAATATCAATACATATGACCCCATACATGACCCCATACACACGATTACCTGCCGAATCGTGAAAATGAAAGAGACCAACACAAAAGAAAATCACATGTATTCAAACAGGCCTGCTCATTCAGCATGCAAAATTATGCATGCCATAATTAATTTGCCATTAAGGCTGGATTGATGTCGCCTTCATGATGCAGACAACCAAGCCATAATTGCCTCTGGTGTTGCATTCACAGCTTTGCCTCATTACTGAAACAGATGCTAATTTAGCGGAGCGGCTTCAGGTCGACAGGTGTGTGTGAAGTGTGTGTGTGTGTCTCAGAGTGGATCGCTCTGCTGTATTGGGCTACGTGTGAAGCGTACTGCAGAAGGGAAATGAGGAGTTGAAAATACATCATAATAAGCCAAGGCATGTTCATGAGGGAAAAAATTAAATATTTGCCTTTTTGGTGGAGCATCTTTTAATCGTACTGAATGGCAGAGGCAGTAATTGCTATGTGAGGAGAAAGAGACTTAATAGCTGGAGTAAACAAACCATTCTGCTGAATTATTAAGCTGTTTAACTAAATTATCTGCATTTGGAGCTCGTAGTTTTTCCTGTTCTTCTATTCACTGGGGAAACTGTAACCCTCCTTTATATGTTTTTTTTTTATGAAAAGCGCTTAGTAACTTAAATGAAGTCATACCTCAAAAGATGTTTATTCTTTTGACAGTAAAACCCATTAATATATTTAATGGCAAAATCAGCTATGTTTAGAGAAACAATACTCATACAAACAAATGAAAAACTACAAAATATCACTTTCTTTCCCCACATTAGTTCAGTTCGTCTCAGTCAGTCAGTACAGTGGCCATCATCTCAACAGCTGGAAAACAGCTGGCGTGTTTCACCACTATATTATTTTCACTGCAGGATAACTAATGAGTCATCCAGTTCAGAGTCCTCAAATATGGCCTCACATCTTCTTCGACCGTTTCTTGGGTCTTTGGTTGAAGACGGGCGAGGCTCCCATCAAGGAGTCGGGCGAATGCGAAGCGTAGCTGCCGTCTGACACCGCACCTCCGGGGGAGGGCGCCATGGCCCCTCCTGACTCGCTCATGGTGGACATGGGCCCACCCTCCTCGAACACATCTCCGCCCAGGACGCTGTGGTGGTGGTGGTGGTGATGGCCGGCACCCTGGCCCTCCTCGCCATCCTGCGGCTCCATTTTGACCTGCGGCCACAATGGGGAGTTGTTGGCCCCGCCCCCTCCTTATAAGAGAGGAGAACAAATAAGGTTAAAAAGAACTCTCCCTCCTTTAACTTCTCCCCCTCAGTGCACAGAACAAACACTGAAGCTTTATTCCAGAGAGGCTGTACACTTCAGTCCTCTCTGCAGAAAACTCAGAGATAAGTACGGATGTACACATTTGAACAGGAACGCTCGTCTCACCTGAGGTGTGAGGTGAATGGTCACCGTCCAGGCCTGAAGCTAGCCTCTCACCGTGGGCCCCGAGGACCCCCATGGGCAGAGCTTGGTCCCCGGAGGCCAGGTCGGCCTCAGGCTCCTCGCTGACAGGGAAGGAGATGTCACTCATAGGTTCTTCCTTGATCCTCAGGGGCTTGGAGTCCTCCAGAGCCTTCTCTGGGTTCACCAGTCGCTCGTACTCCTCTGACAGATCCTTACTCACCTGGAAGAGGAACATCTTTTATTCGTCCCATTTTACTGGTGAAAGCTCAAAGATAAAGCCTTGATAATCTGGAATTTCAATTCAATAATGATTATATTATTATATAATATATTATTATATATAATATTTCAATGTTTCTGATCCAACACATTGTAAAAAGAATGCTCTTTGCCAAAGTTAGTCACAGACACAGAGGACCAGCTCTACAGTTGTATATCTTTAGAAGTCAGGTTGGCACTGTAGACAGTGACTCTCCGAGTCTGGTTTCTGTCTCACTTCCAAGCAGCTTGTGCACACAAGTTGCCATACAGTCCTTTGTTCTCACTTGCACAAAGTCCTTTATGCTTTCTGAGATGATTCAGCATTGTTGAAAAGATATTATCAAACGTTGTCTCGGCACTTTGCCAAATGGGATTAGTTTCATTATGATTTAATCTGCTGACTGTTTTCCAATTACTTGTTTAGCCTACAAAATATAGCCAACAACAGCCATCAAATGGTCAATTCTTCCAGTGTTTTACCCAGGAAATTGGTTAGTGGAGGTGGTAGGTGTAATAATGAGGGTTTACCTTTTCTGCTAAGCTGCTCTGATTAATTTCTGTGTGAAGTGAATGTACAATGTGACCTATCAGTGTGATCACTGGTACAGCTGTTAGATGGTTTAAACAGTCACCGTTATCATTAAATACTGTATGTGTCCTTTTTGGCGTGATATAGTGTCACTGCTACTGTTCCCTGACACTTAATTAGCCTAATATTTAATTAACAGAGGCACTCTAAAAACTGCCATTTTGTAGTGGAGATGCCACACATCAAATGTTTTGTTTTGTGCAACCAAAACCCAAAGATAGTCAATTTACAAAGATAAAAATAACTGAGAAAAGTAGCAAATAATCATATTGGAAAAGCTGGGACTAGAGAATGTTTGACATTCAACTGATTGACTACTTGTTTCTGTAATAAACCAATGACAGAGATAGCATGAAGAAGACTCTGCTGGTGGTCTAAGTCAAAGCTTCTACTGACATTACACAGCAAACTGCTTAATGATGCATTTCAATAATAAAACAAATATTAACCAAATTACAAAAAACGATGTTGAACAGCGGGCATTGCGAATAAAATCCTTTATCACGGTATGTTCAACTACAGCATGAACTGTATGCCAAAATCTTAGATGCCTGAAACATTTTAAATGATAATTTTATACACTGTCCAAGAACACAACCCTATAATCAGTTACGACCAGCCTCACCTGCAGCATGTAGCTGTGATAGTCCTTGATCCGCACTTGCCAGAAGCGCTGCAGGGCCAGCACGCTGCCAATGCCCACCTCATGGAACACTTGCTCCACCACGTCTGGGAAGGGACTGGCTCCTAGCCGAGCCTCCCGGTCCACCGCCACCCGCAGCAGGCGGGTGAGCCGCAAGTAATGCTCATGGACCAGGTCCGTCAGGGTCTCCAGCACGCTCTCCTGGGCCGACTCAAAGCCAGCATGGGCCAACACAGTGGCCACCGACTGATAGAGGAGCTGCCGGCAGGAGGGCCAACTCAGCTCTGTGACAGGCTCGCCTTTACCCCTTATGGTGGAAGATAAAAGGAGATAAATGATGAATGGTTGCTAAATTGACTGAGATTATATCAGGGAAATATTAGATAATATGTCAAATAAATATATAATATATAAAGTGAGTGAGTGATAAGCCTACAATTTAGATTCTTTACTGGATATGGGAAGTGTTTCATCACAAGGAAGGGAGCTCAGCTACCCAGTCAGATTAACTTACTTGTAGAAGTCACTTTCGGGGTCACTGTGGCGCAGCTGGAAGGGCTGCCGCGGGGCTTTGCTGTCCACAGGTAGTAAGTCATCTGGCATGACAGGTGGGGTGGGAGGACGCAGGGGCAGCTTGGTATCAGCCTCCTCCAGCTTGCTGCCAGCCTCAGAGGACGCTGAGCTCTGACCCTGACCCTGAGCCTGGGCTTGGGCCGCTGCCAGGAGACCACGGAGGCGGCGGGTGTGCTGACACAGCTGCACCGTGTGGATGGTGAGGCTGCAGGGCTCTGAGGGGATGTCCAGCATTGTGGTGGGCCGCGGCCGCTGGGCTGAGGGCTGGTGCAGCGGTGGGTCCTGCATCTCCACTGAGCGAAACTCGCGCTGGAGCAAGTCAAAGGAGCTGCGGCTGGGAGGAGCCCCTGCAGGTCCAGGGATCTCACCCCAGTAACGCATCATGATGAGCGATCAAAGACCCGAGCCCAGTTCAAAGTCCAGTCTGAAAATTGGAAAAGAGGGGAAGTGGGAATGACCGTCACCATCAAGGATGAAGTGGATATAAACAACGTCAGTCTCTACTTTTTTTAGACACTACCTTTAATTAACGTCACCTTTAAGTTTTTTTTAACTCTTAGTTATTGCTGATACAGAGTGGCAACTAAATCACGCCAAATATCAGCCAACAGTAGCAAAAATGTATTAACAATCGCATGGTGGAAAACGTGCACCACACACACACACACACACACACACACAGTTTTTAGATCTGTTACAACAATGTACTTGTCTTGTGATTATATCGGCAGACATAGGACCAGCCACTAACATGTTTTAAAGAAAATATTAGCAACTATAGTCAGATCGCCTTGCCTCTGTACTGTATATGCTTATGCATGACTAGAGAAGACAGTAGCAATAGCAAGCAATACAATGTTAAGGGTTAAAAAGTATTGGAAACGCATTAGGTTTAATTTATGTTTGCCGAATTGAGGGGTAAATGGTATTGATTCCCGTAAGCTCTTAAGTCAAGGTTTGAACAGGTCTGTCTGTTTGCAATACTGCCAGACAACCGGGAATGTCAGGTGCCTGACTGGAGTTTGGTCATGTATGAGCGTACAAGAGAAAACGCACAAGCAAACAACTCATGACGAGTAACAAGTAAGCTAACGTTAGCTAAGTGCGTAGCATGCATGTTTAGCTAGTTAAATGATCAATAAGTTAGAAATCCAGCAGTGACTCACATCACACAGGGATGGATAATAACTGGAACCAGTAGCTCTTCTATCTTTGGAGGATGCTGCCAGGGAACTAAGTTTTTTCGTCCTTGTTGCAAAAAAAACTCGGGTGAAATCAGCGGAACAAGAATTTTAGTTCCGCGACAAAGAAGCTGGAGGTTAAATTATAAATTCAATCAACATGCCGTGTAATCGTATTTTAAATGATTTTTCAACTCTTTCTTTCCAGACTATATTCTGTATTGGTTGACCGTATGAGATTTAACGTATATAGGTTGAAAACCCGGGCACAATTCACAGTCGCACCAAATAAACATGGCCGCCTCCCCGCCGTCAGACGTGTGTGTGAAAAACACGGATGAAGAAATGAATTCTGCAACAGAAACAGACCAGTGCTCGGCCACTGAGGTTGGGGTTGAGCCCGAAAAGAAAGACTTACACAAACCTGAACCAGAAACAGAAGACACTTTTAAGAAACCGGCTCTTTTCGCGGCACCTTCCCTCACCAGCAAACGCAGTAGCGTCGCTGCTCCGTCCAAAGCAACAGCAGCCGAAACAAAAACTGTGACAGAAAATAACAACGCCGAGGTTGTAGACACTACTAAAGAGGACTCTTCTGGTCCTGTGAATGAAAACAACACCGAGAAAGGCCAAGAAGAGGACAAAAACGTCGTGAAAGATAAGAATGTGGCTCCCGTCAAAACCAAGCCAGAAGCTAAACCCAGGGTGCTCCCTCCTAAAGTGCCCCCGGCTGGTAAATTCCCCCCTGTCCCATATACAGAACCGCCCTGGGGGGGCATAGCTCCAGATACCCCGTATGCTTTGGAAATCCTTAAAAACGGCACCATAGTGGACACGGTACCCCTCACACAGAGAAGTTACTTCGTGGTCGGACGTTTACCTGTGTGTGACGTCCCTCTGGAGCACCCCTCCATCTCCAGGTACCATGCGGTGATCCAGTACCGCAGAGAGGCTGGAGAGGGGGAGTCTGTGGGGGAGGAGAGGGGGTTTTACATCCATGACCTGGGCAGCACACACGGCACTGTGGTGAACAAGAACAAGATCCCCCCGAAGACCTACATCAGACTGCGTGTGGGGCATGTCTTAAAGTTTGGTGGGAGCACGAGGCTTTTTATCCTGCAGGTAAGTGATGGTGTGGACCCCCACGTGCACTGAATATACTGACGTGGATATATTAAAGCTGCTCTGGCTAACTTTTGTTACATTTACTCAAACTTTCACTACATCCTGACAGTAGTATATGAGACCGATAATAACAATAATAATAATAATAACAAATCCGGTTCCTCTGGCTCCTCCTAGGGCTCCTAATGATGTTTACAATAATCCACCGGGCCTGAACGAAAACAACCAATCAGAGCTGAGAAAGATAGTTGATTGTTGAGTCTCATTCCCAGGTCATCAAATATCGATGCTGGGAATATGACTCAGCAATCAACTATCCTCAACCCACCAGACCATCTTTCTTGGCTCTGATTGGTTGTTTTCGTTCAGGCCCGGTGGATTTTTCACAGATTATCCGTCTCGTACTAATGTAAGATATCGTGAAAAGTCTTTTTTTTAATTTATAGAAACGACCTGCTGCAGCTTTAAGGATAACAGGACAGCTTTCATTAGGCCCTCTCACAGTACGGATGGGTCACTCTAGACTTGATTGCAGTCCGGCAAGGCTTTGAGATGATCTCATTCTCTATCTTTCTGGCTTATAATGATGACGACACTCACTGACATATAGACCTAAACAAATATGCAAAAATATCCCTGTTATTCAGCCCAGACCATTCTCATGGTTTATAACACTAACCTTATACACACAGTCTAAGGAGGCAACCCACAAGGCTAATGGTGAAAAGCAGTCTTCCGATATGGGTTTTTCAATGACCCATGCAAACATTAGAGAGCAGAGCAGAGAGCAGAAAATAAATTCCCCAAAAAATGTCATTATTCCATGCACATTCCTATCTAATATACATGCTTATCTTGCCCAGTAAGGTTGTTGTAGATGGATTTTTTATTAATGATATAGAGGATCAAAAGTATGTCACTCAACTGCACTGATCTATACAGTATAACATAATATATATTCAACACTAGCACGTAAGTGTTTTAGTTTAGATTTGTTGTCAGTTAGGATGGGAGGAACGTGTTAACATCTATAACAGACAACGGTGCCTGAGGATATTTAGGCAGGATGCTTGAGAGTTGTAGTATAGGGCTGCACACTCACTTTTTAACCACATTCCCAAAACCCACAAGGTACAGTGCTAACACTGTTCCACAGTGACCAGGCTGCCTGCAGACATCAGCCAACCCATTAGTCAGTCTAAATCTGTCACTGATAAATCTCCAGGTCAATCAACTAGTTCAAAGTCATTTATCAACCAAAAGTGCAAAACATGTTCTGTTTCCCGCTTCTCAGAAATGATTAGCTTTTTAAATTGATTTCAATGTAATCAGGATTTCTACAAAATTGTCCTGTTTTACAAAACAAGGCATTTTAAGACATCAATTATTTAAAAAAAATCCCCTAATAAGTTATATTCTATACTGAGAATAATCGTTGATTACAGCCCTTTCAGAAAATGTTAATTCAATCTGATAGAAAGCCCAGTTAATAATAAGCAGACAGCAGATCTGACTACAGTATGGGATTCCTCAGTTTGAACACTGTATTGAGTCTGAGGGCCCATGGTTGTCTGTTCAGTGTGTGTAAGCCACGTGACAAGCTGTGAACTGGTGCTAAGCACAAAAGTAAACGAGAAACAGCAGTTTATTAACACTTGGTTGATTTCTCTGTCACTTGATCGATTGGAGAAATGTTTCACTGTTTTGATCATCATTGAAGTCATTTATCAAGCAAAAATGCTTTCTCATTGTCTGCTTGCAGTTCACTTTATATCATTGTTGACTGACTGTCTTATTGTTGGGCAAACATTTGAGAGATTTGAGTTCTGGGAAATTTTCATTGGCATTTAGTTCTTTTATGCATTTTATAGACTGAATCAGTGTTTTAAGTTCAACTGTGAGGTAGCTCCCCCTGGTGGGCCACAGAGCCATTACACAAGAACGTGGAGTGAAAGTTGAACTTTTTCACAGCAAACATTTTTTGGTGTTACACTATTATTTCTGCGTTGCAGTGCAGTGACTGTTGATTATTAGTTCCACCTGTGTTTTTCTGCCACGATGAGCCAAAATGTGTGCTGTGAAGAAAGGCGAATGAGTCTGCTTTAAAAAAAAAAGAAAGCTATTGACGTTTACTCAGACGACATGTAAAGGACTTTATTGACATATTTCTGACAGGGAAACGGTAGATGATGCTCATTGTACAAACACCTTAGTCCAAAATATGACAGAGCTGACCTGACACTGTCAGTATTGCAGCAGAGCCCTGTGTGTGCACAACAGCAATCGAGGAACACATGAAAGGAAACATGGAGCTCATATGAATATTTTATTATACATATCATATATTTCTCTTTGCCCTTGTTCTGAATGTCAAGGGGCACTTTCTGTTTACAGGTGTTGGGGATGTGTATGTGAAAAAAGTTGTATAAAGCTTTAAAAGGAAGCTGTGTGAAATCGAATTACCTCACGTGATGTCACTTGAGTCCGCGTCCGTTGAGAGGAAATGAGAGTGTGTGGAATGAAGGAGCGCTCTCTTCCTCTCTGCCCAAGGCCAGAGGCTCCAGGCCATGTTAGCTGTTACTAACATCACACAGCTGAATCTCAGACTGAACTGTCAGTGGTTGAATGGGTTGCATTGTGGGTAATGTAGGCAGCAGGTTTTGACAAGAAAGAAAAATGCATGATAAAAATGACGATTCTAATCATTCTTGTTTTAAACTCTCTGTTGTAGGAGTGCAACAGTAAGTCAGTGGAATACTCTTTAACAAGAAATCACTACTCATTCTGCTCAAACACATTATTAGTGGATGTTTAACAATCAAATATCTTTCATCTTTCCACATTCACCTTTCCTCCTTCCACAGGGTCCAGAGTTTGATGAGGAAGAGGAGTCTGAGCTAACAGTGACAGAGCTGAGGGAGCGAGCCCGCAAACAGAAGGAAAAGCTGGAAAAGAGGATGATGGGAGACGGTTCTGATGATGATGATGATGATGATATGGAGGAGGAGAAGGAGGAAGGCGGGGAAGGCGAAAGCAACAAGGGCCGGAGCAAACAGTCAAAAGAAGACTCGGGCTGTTCGTGGGGAATAGGTGAGCCTTTTTTCTGCCGGTTGTAGGGTTACGCCACAGCGCGTTACGTGTCATCTGTGTTGACATATCGCTGCGTTGTCATCCCGAGTGTGTCCCTGTCAACTCTCTCTGAAGGCGAGTAACTGAAGGAGCATGTTAATCCTTTTGCTCTCTCCTTTCCTTTCATTCCATCTGTCTCCATAAATCCACCCGGCAGCCGAGGAGGCTGTTCCAGAGGAAGACGAGAACGAGGAAAACCCTTTTTCAACAGAGTTCCACGAGGACCAGGAAGCTGCCTACCTGAAAGACCCAAAGAAGGCTTTGCAGGGCTTCTATGACAGGGAAGGTGAGAAGTCCACAGATGTCTGGTTCCATTGTTTTCATGGTTCTTGAGTTTCCCTTGACTTCAACTTTGGCATCCTTTACTTTAGGAGAGGAGCTGGAGTTTGAGTATGAAGACAAAAGCCATGGCAGCTGGCTCTGCAGAATAAAGTAAGTGATGTGAAACCCCTTGATCTATGAGTGTACAAAATGTCTCCTCGCCTGGACTCACACCGTTCATGCTGTTTCTGTCAGGCTTCCGGTGGATGATGCCGTGGGCCGGCAGCTGGTTGCTGAGGTGACCCACACAGGGAAGAAGAAAGAAGCGGCCATCCAGTGCTGCCTGGAGGCTTGTCGAATGCTGGAAGCCAGAGGGTTGCTGCGCCAGGAAGCAGGTGGGAACTCCAGTGGAAATGTCTGAAAGTAGAACGACGAGACCGTACAGCTTGCATTAATGGGGACTGCAATAAGACTTTTTCCTGTCTCATTTCTAGTGTCCCGTAAGCGCAAGAAGAAGAACTGGGAAGATGAGGACTACTACGACAGTGATGATGACACCTTCCTGGATCGGACCGGCACTGTGGAGAAGAAGAGGCAGGAGAGAATGAAAAAGGCGGGAAAGATTGAGGAGCGGCCTGAGACCTATGAATCACTGGTAAAAATCTGCTACTGTTAATGCACGACTGCGGAACATCACAATATTCTGATTCAGTACGTCTTTACTCTTCACTTTATTTACACTTGTTCAGCACGATGCTGAAGGCACTTTGCTCCATTAAAGAGAAACTACACACAGATCATTGGTGTAAAGCCTCATGTCTAATGATAAACAGGCTACAGCTATGCTAGTGGCACTGTGAGGCTGTACTTGGTGTCAGATTTCATCTTGACAAATGTGAATATTTTCCAGTCTCTGTAGTCCTCTAAGACAGGAAGCTGAATATCTTTGGGTTGCATACAAAACAAGACATTTGAGGACGTCACCTTGGGCTTTGGGAAACATTTTTATGGACTGAACAACTAATAGATTAATTTAGAGAATTGACAGAGCAATCATTAATAAATGTAATTGTTAGTAGAAGCCCTCTGGAAACAATCTATGTACCACATTTCATGGCAGTCCATCCAGTAAATGTTGATGTATCAGTCCGGTGTGTCTCCTCTCTGTCAAAATACATGTATAAATTGATTTCACAAACAGATCTATACTGAGAGGTGTATTTGTGTAAACAGCACTTGTACTATGATGTATAATAAGCGTGCTGTATGTTTCTGTGGTAACATTCATGTCTTTGATTTTCGTGTAGGTGGCCAAACTGTCAGAGGTGGAGAAGGAGCTGGCAGAGACTCAGAAAAAGCTCAGTGCTGATAGAGGAGGTGAGTCATGGAGTGTTCACTCTGCCACACTACCTACAGATGCATGTTCTCCATGTGTTACAGCGTGTCTCATCCCTCCTCTTAGACTCCTCCGGCTCTTCCACCGAGGACCCGCTGGACGCCTTTATGACCGCAGTGCGGAAAGAGGCAGCGATGGACGCCGTGGAGCGCAGGAAGCTCCACGTGCATGTGGCCGACTTGCGCAAAGACGCTCAGAGGCTCCGCAAGCTGGTGGAACTCACGCGGCCCGCCCAGATGCCTTCACTGCTGCCCGGGTTAGACACGGTGCTACATTCAGGGTGTCAGATGGATGCTGTAGAATATCACAGAAACCTCTGAGAAATTGTATTTGAAGCAAACACACTATTTCCTGAAATATCAGCACATTTTCAGTATAGATGAAGTATAGGAATGTGTTTTGAAACATTAAAAAGTTAACTGTGATGAAATCTTTAATTTCAATATATACTAGAGCAGATTTAAAGACTCATTTTGATGTGTGTTGGTGTGATAGTGGAAGCTCAGAGGCAGAGAAGCCTAAAAAGACTTTACCGCTGTTTGGAGCCATGAAGGGAGGAAGCAAATTCAGACTGAAGACGGGCACCATTGGGGTAGGAGGTGTTGTCTCTCGTGTTTGATACCTCGTTCCAACTCCTGTGAAAACATTCCGTCTCTTATCGGTCTTTTTCTCAACCTGTCTCTACTTTTGTTTTCTCTCTTGTAGAAGTTGCCTCCGAAGCGGCCCAACTTGCCCGCAGAGCTCTTCAACATGAAAGCACTTTCACCCAGCGGAGAAGAGGAGGAAGAGGAAGAGGAGGAGGCAGCAGCAGAGAGTAATGAGGCTAACGATGATAGAGAGTGTGCAGCTATCACAGAGATGAATGTTGACTCTGAGGAGTCCGGGGCATCCACGTCTGGAGAGAGCACTTCCTCAGGGCAGCAAAGACGACAACCAGCACAGTCCCGAGAGCCCAAAGGTAAAAACACTTCGCCCACGGAAGAACTGGAGGAAGAGTTTTCAGGAAAATATGCCCTCTGTTAATTCTTCACAGTATGTTCACAAGTTTAAATATGCAGTTCTTACACCACTGGGTGGCAGTAGGTCTGTAATTCAAAAAGCATACTGCTGTCTATGTATCATCCATACGTACAGTTATGTAAAGAAATTACATAGACTTCATGAATTCTAGTTTTTTTTTTTATTAATATCTAGAAAAGTAGTCTATTTTTACATTTTAGGTGCAAAGTCAGCTAATATCTGTCCCTGTGATTACTGAGAATTCTAGAAAGATCTCAAAAATAACTGATTATAAATGTAATGCTGATTTGTTTTCAACTTGTAAATAAGTGTATATACTATTTATTAGACTTGCTATTTGTGTTTGTATGATTTCATATCAGAGCAAAGCCCCAAACAGAGGAGAGTGGATGAGTCTGCTGAAGCAGAGGAGCAGGTTCCTCAGCGCAGCAGCAACCGCACGGCCGTGGCCCCCTCATCCAGTCCAGGTGGGTCCTGTGTTTTGTAGTTTCCATATTATAGTCTGTGCTCTCTCTAGTATTGAATATTGGTCGTTGTGTGTCAGTGGTATCGGCATCGTTAATGTGCTATACCTACGTCTCTGTAGAGTCCAAAGCAGAAGGCGACAGAGAGCCAGCAGCAGAGCCCAGCCCCAGAAAGAATGTGAAGAAGAAAGTGATGGGCCCCAGCAGGGTAGGCCCCCACACACACACAAGATCAAATATTTCATTCCATCATACGGCGAAGTGTGACTAAGTTGAACTTCCTCATGATTTGTGTCCACAGCCACCAGTGCAGCTCTCAGGACAGTATCCAGAGGACGACCCTGATTACTGTGTCTGGATGCCTCCTACAGGTAAATACCTGACACATCTGTTTGCTCCAGGACTGACTCGAGCCGTATTTGGGTAGCCCCCTCTAAACATAGGCAGAGATGAACATTTGAGTGAGGCAGTTGCGGAAACAACACCAGGTTTTACTTTGGTCTTGAGAAGCTGCAGCCTTTATTCATTGACTGACTGTAACCTACACTGAACGTTAAAGGGTTCCCACACACGCTGGGAAAGCTGGACATTTACAGACTAGTTTTCCAGTCATGGAAACATCTGGAAATGAATTAAAATGACCAAATATCCTGCAAATAATCTCTGTTGTCCTGGTAATGTTAATATGTTAGCCCCCTACTCAGATCACCTATGTACTCCTGGCTGTGTATAGTAGGATAAACTGTATGACACTGAGAGCGGGGTCACCAGATGCAGAGTGGGCTGCGATCGAAATCCTCACATCTACATGCATTCAGCCTATTAATGATTACATGTTGTTGCTGGGGTTCAGAAGCCACAGTTGCTTATGGGCTGTGGCCAAATAAATAGAGCCAATTTGCCTGAAACCACAGCTTATATGATGTTATGATGACGTTTGTTAGCAAGTCCTGTATAAAAAAAAAACCTCGTGGAAAATGTCCTGAAAAGGTCCATTGTGGGAGTGGGAATCATGATTTCCTGCTTTTTAGTAAATAAAAAGAGGTCGCTGTTGATGGTAGCTTGGCACAGCTTGTACAGGATGCCCCATGTTCAAGAGCGAGTAGTTGGGTAGAGCTGTGCCATCCGGAGGAAAGGCGGCTTTATTGACCAATTGATCATATCCTTAGGTGATAGTCAGGCTTATTAAGCAAGCAGTGGGAGCATAACCCCGTTGCTCTTTGTTCTGATAAGTGAGATATACGAGTTCTTTAGACCTGTTGAACCTGAACACGTTTTCAAAGCTGCAGAGGTAACTTCATACACCCCCAGTGCCGACCCCATACTGTCTGTCTATAACTTGACAAACACTTTGTTGACACCGACTGGCTGTCCTGTTCTTCTTCCTACTGAGCTCAGGAATGAAGGGGGGGGTGGGGGTTAAGGACATGGTGAGAGGAAGTAAACAGGCTTTCATGGTCCATTTGTGCAGCTGAAATTGCAGCGACATTTTCATTGTTCACTAAGGAATGCAGATCAAAGTCACTTAAAAATGATAAGATACGCTCGAATAAAAATAAACGTTGAAGCAGCGGCCAGACGGAGCCCGGATTCAGGGTCACAGCTAATCTCGCTGCGTCGTTTTAGCATTGGTTTGATAAATGCAGTTGGGGAGCTGTACTTTCCTCCCAGTCCATTTCACTTTCCTTTTTTTGAACACTTGATACAACACGGATTGTGACTGAAACCCTCTGACGCTAAATCTGTTTTCTCCCCCCTAGGTCAGACCGGAGATGGCCGCACAGCCCTAAACGACAAGTACGGCTACTGAGTTCTCCACTCCGCCAGCTTTTATGCTGCAGATAATACCTGCAACACAAAGCCTCCCCAGCTCCGACCATTAACCCCCTGCACCCACCCCAGGCCCTGTGTGTGTCTGTGTGTGTGTGTTAAAAGAGCCTGTAACAGAGCAGGCAGAGATAATAATGCTGCACCTCTTTATTTATCTGTTGGGGATATTTCATTCTCACACTGTCATAAACAAAAAGCACACTGGTCCAATTCACATTAAACTGGCAAGCTTGGGGAATTGCCCCCCCCACCCACTCAGAGCAGACACTGGGCAGTCAGCCCGCTGGCACTTCTCACCCAGGACTATAATAGAGATGGGTAGCACTTTTTTTCCCTTTAAATTCTATATCATCCAAGCAGGAAATAGAAAGGGACCAAGCAGGAGCGGTAACTGATCTGAATTCAGCTTTTTGGTCTTTGGTTGCTCCCCCTTGCAGTTAATTCCACCTGACATCCAATCTGCATCCCTCCCCTATTTGGCGGCAGTCGATCGCTGGCATAACCTTTTTTTTCTCCAAAGGAGAGTGTGTAGCAAGAAGGGAGAAAGAGGGAGAGCATTGAAGCAGCTTTTCTGACCATCTGGATACTTGGATGGCTTACTGGATGAAACGCAAGCTGATAATGACTCAAGCTAAGTGGAGTGTGTGTGTCTGTGACTACACCGACTCTCTCTCTCTCTCACTCTCTCTCACACACACACACACACAGCCCAACCTTCTCAAAGTTCTCTTTTTAACAAGATTGTCTTTATGAGCGAGTCAGCTATCGGTGTGTGTTTGCCTGGAGCAGGATTCCTCGCTCTGTGAAATCCCACTCAGTGCTGTTCTGTTGGTTTACTGCCACACTTTCCACCCTCTTTCCTGTCGTCTTTTCTCAAAACACAAAGTAAAGAATTTGTAAACTGTATTTTGTTACATAAATGTATAATAAAATTGTCTGTACATAACCTGGGAGTCGCTCTACACTTCTCACGCACTCTATTATGTTTGTTCTCGCCTAAATTTTCCAGCCGGCGATCTTCTCTGGTGTACGCTTCTGGGACGCCTTCACACACAACCCAGTTTTTTGACGTCAGTTTCTTTCCCTCTCTTTCATGCTCTCTCACAAACACAAAGAGCATTTCTCAGGGTATGATCTGGCACAAAGAGGCTTGTGGTCTTGGCTGTAGGTCTTGGCTGTGACCCACTCATCGGTGGTGGAAAGCATTCTTCCCTGCCCCAAACACATGAGAGGAGCCCTCTGTCTCTCCACCTGGCACATCCTTCTCATACAGACAGTCACTTCAGTATGACACTAGTGGCCCTGGCCAATCTGGTCTGATCATCATTTTGACTTCTCTGGAAAATGCAAGAAGATCCAGTGGAGTATCTTGTGACATGTAGATGTGTAAAAAATGTTTCTGGGCTACTGTAGGAACATGGCGCTTCAACCTTGCAGACTGTACAAGAGGAACCGCTCCCACTATAGATTAAAACTTTCTAAAGGTAACAAGAACGCGGCAATTCTTATATTCAGTCACATTGTTTTTCCACTCAGTTATGAAGGTTTAGGGCCAGGCTGATAGTATCAGCCGATATCGGCCTCCGCAGGCGCAGTGTGTATGTTTGTATGGTGTGTATGTCATCCAGTATGCACCGATATGCATGTGTTTTTCCGGTATATAATGCAAAACAATGCTTAATACACTAATACATTAGTGTCACTGCAAAGTTTATCCAGTGGAGTGCGCTGTGGCAAGCAGCACAGAGTAAGAGAAGAAGCAGCTCTCTGCATTCTAGACTAGAATTGGTTGACTATGTAGCCTTCATGTTAAATTAGGTCCAGTGTGTAACATTTAGGAGGGTCTATTGACAGAATGAGTCATTTATATATCCAGACAGCGAAGGCCACCATGTTGAACCACCATGTTTCTACAGTAGCCCAGAAGAGACAAACTGGCTCTAGAGCGTGTTTGTTGCGGCCACCGTGGTTTGTTGATCTGCAACTACACCACTAGATGCCACTAAATCCTACACACTGGATTGAAAGAATATTTCATTTTTATACTTTGATAAAGTTATTTGTCTAATAAAGCAACTTCTCCACATAGAAAAGGTCTATTTTCATTCCAGCCCAAATTCACTTTATTGATAATCCGTGAATATTTCCATTCTGAGATACTTCCATATGGGTTCCATTAAGGTTTTCCCTTTACTTTGTCACAATATATATATATATATATAAAGTATACTGATCCAAAAAAAGAAATCACCTTCTAAACAAGAGGCCACAGGGCTTTTATTGATTCATTTTGTGCAACAATGGACGAAAACCTGCCCCAATGTTACATTCACTTCGGCGAAATCTTACTTACAGTGGTGACATTGTGTTTAATCGATTGATCAGCTCATTTCAGGAGCTGAGAACTACCTCAAGTTTCATTCAATACGACAGGAATGTGATTTCAAGGCATTAAGAGATCTTTAGAAAACACTGGGATGTCTTAGATGTACCAGTGGTCCTCTTCTACCTAGAAAGTACTGAGGTACAATATTGGAGAAAAAAAATGGCACACTACAAGTAGGCTATGATTAACATAGCACCAATTACACTTGCCAAATGTGCAGCAACTATTCTCATACTTCCTTATTTCCACATACCGCTCTTTCTGCAAAACAGCGCAATTCATGCAAGGAAAGAGGATACAAGTACTTAACTCTGACCTGGACTAAAAGTGACAAATTCATTAAGAAACGTACATCATCAAAGGTCAAACTAGTCAACTACATACATGTCATACATGTCATACATGTTTGTTATAGCTCGTCATGACCTGCATATCCAATGACACATCCAAAGAAGTAGTTTTTCAGACAGACGAATGTGACCACTGTCTATGTTCATCTCAACAATAACAAGATATCCTATGACTCACCTCGCCGTGTTCAGTATATAACGTTACCAAGAACCTTACAAGATATCCAGTAATGACATCAAAGGAAGAAACCTTGGAACCATTTGATTGTCTTACATGCATTATTTCCCTTGAATATTGATCCGACCCAGAACTAAATCCAGGCTTTTCAAACGGTTGGCCTCACCCCTTTGTACCACCTCTGGTCCACAGTTTCTCCATTCATGATTCCTCCAATCACAGGATCTTTTTTTAGAGACAGCTGTCGATTAGGAAAACCTGAAGTATTCTTAGAAGTGTTGTTGTTGTTGTTGGGGCCATTTCATTCTCCAAATGTTCCTGCTGATTTTATGTGGAGAAGGACGATCAAAGGGTGGGATTACCTGAGTGTGCAATAGTTCCACCATCAAACAAACTGTCTTTCTACCTCTCTGTTTCATAACAGTCACTCCTTGGTCTCGCTGCAGAAGCCACAAAAGAAAAAGCAGCCGTCTGGGAATGGGGGGGATTATCTGGCGGTGGAGATTATCTGGCGGTGGATGAATTTTCTTATGAGCACGGTGGATCCTCGGACGGGGTCAGGGGGCTGCAGGGGGGCACTGTGCTCAAGGAGCGGAAGGCGAAGATGGAAGGGTCGTAGGTGTACCTGGGCGGAGGGCGACTGCCGGTCAGATTCTGAGGACACAGAAAGAGAGACAGGTGGTCACGGCGAGTCACAGGCCTGTAAAACGTGAGTGTTTAGGTTAACCACTGGTCAGCTGCAGTGTGCCAGTCTGTAGGGACAGTGCTATCTGTGCAGCATGAATATGTGGCTGATGGGACTGAAAGCCAAACTAGTGGTGCTCCTTAGAGCATTTTCACACTGGTTTTTTCCCTTCATTCACACTGCGGGTTGGTTGACATACATGCTTTTCCACTTGCAGAGCCCCCCCGAGCCAGAACCTCGCTTCTTGTGGCTCTACAGGCCCTCTGTCTAAAATTAGCCCTGGTCATTTTCCTCCCTACAGGAAACGACAGGAAATGACTTTGTTGGATTTGGCAGTGAGGCAGCACTTTCTCCAGAGCCTGCTGAGGGGGAGTGAAGTTTGTGAGAAGGTGGACTGAGAAAGATTAGGACCCTGAGACAGATTCGCTGAAACTGGGAGCTGATACTGTGGAAAAATGTGTGTGTGTGTGTGTGTTAATATGGATGGCTGTATTGTCAACCATTACCAAACAGCTCTTGAGAAGTGACAGAGGTGCTTCCACTGAGATGCTGAGGAAGTGCCCGCTGCGACTGGAAAAGTACCCAGTGACATCAGCGCATATGAAATAAGGGGCCCATTAACAGTGCATGCCAGGCTACAGGTGTTGCTATGACTTCAGCCAACATCTTAAGGGATTCAGTACTGACAACTGAGCCACAGTTACACAGCAACAATTCCCAGCACCACTTAGAGCTGTTTTATCTAGCAATGTTCATACAAACAGGCAAAAAGTGAGGGCTGGAAAAACACACTGGAGCCCAAGAACAAGTTACAGTGAACTTGACAGACGTTAAGATGTTCTCCATATGGTAGCTGCGAGTCAGTCCAACTGTGGGGGAGAACCGTACATCAGGATGGCTTCCCTATCCGCGTGAGCGATCCCAACAGGGCTGTAGTGTGGTCACATCTGCAGGATGACGGACATGTAGGGCCCAGAGGGGTCACACTAAGTACAAGGCTCTCCGTTTGTGCAGACATCAGCAGCAGCAGTTAGACAGCCGAGGAACACACCAGTAATATCTCACTTGTCCCGCAGCTCACCTGGTTCCATAGAGGTTCTTCCTTGTAGAGATTTAGGATTGTCTAAAGTGTGCTGATCATTCATTCAGACCCCCAGCTGCATGTGAAGGGTTTCTTCACAGGGTTACCAGCAGGGTTCATTCTGACACAAATCTTCATTTAGTCTCTGCCTCTAATCTATTTTAGTGGACTAAACTGGGTTTATGGTTTTAAAGTGTAATGCCTTATTTAAACATGTCTCTAGAATGTCCCACATTATACACTCCTGGAGAAACAACTGGCAACTCTGGGTTATTCCCTTCTCTAATCAGGGTTAGGGTTAGGGTTAACCCTAAAGGACAGCTGTGGTGTCTTTAGTTTAGTGAAGCCCACACTAACCCGGGTTAGCTGATCAAATAAGCTTAAGGCTGCGTCTAACCTCCTGAGCTCACAAAGAGCCTGGCTCTGATTGGATCTCTGCTCAACAACCCTCCCTAACATTTTAGTTTCTATTTATTGACAAAGTGATAACAGATTTGTTCATCATAAATGAGTTTTTATTGAGTTATTGTCTAGTTTTCATCAATGAAAGAATGTTGTTGATGTGAATTATTGATCAACAAACAAACAATCTGCTAAAGAAACACTTCAACATGTATTACATGGACAAGTTCCTGCATGGGCCTGCTGGGCACTGGACCAGAACTAGAGCCCCTGTATGAGCTGGTACTTATTAACAGTTGCTAGTAAAAATGACAGGTATGCAGCTCATTTTCCTCCCACTCTCCATATCTGCACCACTTCCCTAACCTCAATTAATCTTCATCTTCCTCTCCACCCATTCTTTACGGTGGCTGAAACAAGACGCCGCTCTTGCCTGGTGCAGCCTGGGAATCGCCCCGCTCTCCTATTCACCTCCAACCCCTGGAGCGGGAGGCCTCAGCAGCAGCAGCAGCAGCGGAGGAGGACAAGGCTGTTTTCCTACTGCTTCCACATGACACCCCCCTTAAAACACACACAACCATCACCATCAACCTCCTCCACTCCCGTAACAACTCCCATGCATGAATGCTCGAATCCAGTCTCAAAGCCGGGGCCCCATCCAGATCCAGTGTCTCTTCTGGACCCCGGCCAGGAAACCGAGGGTTGAAAGCTAAAAAAGGGGAAGAGGGAGGTAGCAGCAGAGAAAGGACAGAGAGATGGGGTGGGTCGCGGTACGTAGTGGCACAAAGGGTAGACAGAGTCAACACAAGCCTCCAAATGGCTCATCAATCCAAAGACTCACTGTGTACTCACTTCAAGAAAAAAATACAAACTGGAAGGTGCCCAGGGCCCACAGACGTCACTGACAGGGACAACAACACCAGCGACTACGCCAGCGAGAACAGAGGATAATGAGCAATATCTCCATGTATCAGCGGAGCTAAACAGATAGCAGCCGGCCCGGCTATAAATGGAAAATGACTTCATCCCTGGAAATACACCACAAGGGAACCGCACAACACTCCACCTCCTCTTCCTCCTCCTCAGCTCCATCTCTCATCGCCACTCACTTGTTCTTCCTAAACCACTCTCAAAGATTATCCTCCGGGGTTTTTTACATACCTATATGGAGGATTGGAGCAACCTAAGTTGGTGGAAGTGTGTGTGTACATAAACAAGTGTGTGATCAGGCTCCATTGACACTATCCCACACAACGCGATAATAACGTCACTTTTCTCACCACACTGCGCGTCCTTCTGGAGTACCCTGCTCCGTGCCAAGATGCCCAGGCTTGTTCCAGTCCACCGTCCAACATGCTTCCCTTACTCACTACAAACAGAATCAGCCCATGCACAGTTGTGTTTGGAAAACCGCTTTACAGGAAGATCACAATCTTGGGAAAATACCTTTCCAAAAAGCTATTTAGGCGAGGAAATGTGCACGTCTGAGGCCACTAATGGGACGGGTGGAAAGCTCAGCTATTAAAGGTTGTTGAATGAGATCAAGAGATCAAAAAGAAAAGAACGCACATTTCTTCTTGTTTCTTTGTCCCGAGTACGAGTGCAGTAAACAGTGTTTAGGCTGGGCGCTGTTTGCGAAAGGAATCTGACAGTGCTATCAGATTTTCAGACGTCTCAGCCATGGCTCTGTTGCTAGCAGGGCATGGGAACAAACGCTGTTGCCAGATGCTGTCCCAGTATGCAGTTGGATGGACATCAAGGTGCTGGCGACAAGACAGGCCGGGCTGTTTGCGGGGGCCTCGCAACCTCGCA